TAGGAAGAGAAATCAACTGTCTGGTTCTGCAGATTATTATGCAATTTCTTTCAGAATGCTTGCTCTGGTGCCATCGTACATCTCCCTCCTACGGTCTTGAGTTCTTGCAGCGTTTCTTATTTTCTGGCATTTTACTTTGAATGATGATTTATGAAGGCAGCGTTTAGAGAAAGCGCTCTGTGTGATATACCCTTGCATAGCGCTTCCAGAACAGCAATTTCAAAATTAATTGGAAGCCATCATATTTTCTGATCTTAAATTTGTTGTACTTTAATGATGGCTTTGTTTCAACTGAATAAAGTATGCAAACCTGTCTGTTCGTGTGAAAATGCTTGTATTTTGTTAACTAGTAGTCATTTTCCTGTCAGTCTAAGAACTTCTGCCACATGTTAAGGCAGGAGACAAGATTGAGGTTGGATAATAGCTGTCTAGCAAAGATGAATTAATTCTAGTCTAAGAAAATAATATTTATTTTGTCATAGACCCAAGTTGACTCGTGCCCCCATCACTCATCCTGATTCATTAGTTGACAGAATTAGGGCACTGTGACCTTTCTATACAGATAAAGTAATGAATGAAGCACTTCCATTGTTAAATTGTTATATTCATTGCATGCCCTTATTCTGCCTGTATGCTAATGGGGAGAGAGCTAGAGAGCTTACGTTTCTTCAGACCTTCCTGTCTCATTGAATGGCAGCCTTGCAATGCTTGTAAGAAGCAAGTGAAAATTACAGTGTCACTGATTGCTGCAAATGATGTAATGTTTTTCCCTTTAAGGTCTAAATAAGTATTAACTGCCTTAGAAAAGAAGTAGCCAATTGTCACTTACACAGTCGTAGTAAGTATGAATGCGAAGATACAGTTAAAAATATGGCGTAAGTATGTGAAAATGTCAGTAGTGCAATTAGGATGCTGAACACTGATCAGTGGGTAGGCAGTAATGACTGAGATGAGAACTGTAATTTGGCCTTGATTCAGGGCCCTATTTCCTAGCATCGAGGCCACCTCTCGAAGCCACCTTTGGCTCTAGAGATCATTGGTAGTAAGTGATTGGAGTCTGAGGGAGTACTTCAGGGGAGCATCATAGATGTTTGTCTGCTTCCTATATTATTTCCTATATTCTTTACTGATTTCTCCTCTTACAGTCAGGCTGATGCTCACCCCTAACAAAGCCCCACAGCCCCTCTAATGAAGGGGGTGAGTGGCTTAAGAGAAAAATGAAAAGTAGCTGTGTGATACTGGGGGGAAAACAAGGTAGGGAAGGATGTGCAGAGAATCAGTACTGGTGATCCTGCCAAAAGATATGAAGGACTGAGGGATGGAAATAGAGTTCACAGTCACCACGGGATATTGGGAAAGACAGACCTTAGTCTGACGTAATGCAGCCACTCTTAGGTTTTGTCCTGTACAGAAATAAACTGAATTGGTGATAACTATAACAGCATAGTGCCAAGTGTGATAAAACTGCCATTGCTTTCTCCTTAGCTGATGGAAAATTGGCATATGCAAGTGCGGGAGGAGGCAGTACAATGGGTGATTTGATCAATATATATATATACTTAATGAACAGTCATTCAATGAGTTTACAGGGGCCAGAATATTCTTTCTGCAGTGCGTGTTGGTCAGTCCTGTCTTCAGCTCCCTCCTTCGCTACTGAGTTGTTTGCTGGATGGCCCTTTTTCTTGCCCAAAAAACAGACAGAGGCAAGTGGAGTTGACATAGAGCAAGAGCAGGCAAAGTGCCCCCTAGGGGAAGAGGAAGTTACTTTTTACTCCTACCTTTGAAAATCCACACATTTCTTTCATGATTCTTGTAGGTTTTAGTACTGATAAGTAGCTCTTAGTGAAAGAGGAATAGAAGTACTTGCATGTAAATTATATTCAAATCAGTACTGTTAAAATAGCTGTTAGTATTTCTGACCCAAGCACTTGATTTTGTGATTTATTTTTGTTGTAGTACCCTTAAGTATACAATTTCCAATTGTAAAGGCAAGGCAGGAAAAGAAAAACTCACTGTCTCTTCTGACACAGCGATAGGAACACAAGCACCCACCCGAGTGAACATATGCAAAGTGTATTTGCATTTTATTAAATTTATTTATGGAGTAAAAAGGAAACATACAATGCAATGGTAACTGTATAATTCGATGTATTTGTGGGTTTGTTCAGTGTGAACCTGGAAGACAATGATTTTGTTATCCCCATCTTCCTTCTGTTTCTGCTCTGTGATTCCAACAGCTGAGTGGGTACATTTGATCAGAGGTACGCATAGTTATGTAATTTTTCACTTCAAAAATAATAACAAAAATAGTTTAAGAGCTTTTTTTGTTTTCATACATTAGGAGGGTGTAGGTACTCTGAACCAAATGCTGGCGAATAAAAGCTTTCCAGTAAGACTATTAAGAATAGCTGCAAAATATTCTTAGAAAGTATTTCAAGTGGTTTGAACGTTACCTATGATTACCAACTTGTGAATAGCTTACATTACAAAAGTACTTTCCATAGTAAATGCAGAGCCATCGAACTCTGCTTCTTTTTCATGAGTGAAGTTCTACTGAGGTGGGCGACTGGTGCTTCTTTCTGATACAACGGTGCTAACAGTTCCGAAGAGCCCAAATGAAAGGCAAGCAACCACGACAGATTTTTATGAATGGTTTGGAATCAAAATTAATTAATTTATTTTCTTCTTCTCAACTGGAACAGCGTTATAAATCCCAACCAGAGTTTAATTCTATCTGAAGGTTACAACCAAAAGCATTTAAGTGAAAATGGGTGAGGAGCAAATTCTCCAGACATTGTGCTTATACAGGCTGTGTATTTGATAGCACTGAGAGCAGCCTTTAAAACCTGTAGATTATAGAAGGAGCTTGGTTAGATTGTCCCAGCGCTTTTGTTTTTTTGCTCATGTGAAGAAGTGTGTCTACAAATGAGTTTCACAGAGTCATTCTGTGTGAGGGTATTCCTAGTACTTGTCCTAGCAGATCAGCAGGAATTTGAATGTGTTTCAGGTGAGCTATTGCATTTACTTTCCACAGAAGTTCTAGTGATAGTTTAAAGTATACGATTAGTGATTAGTGAGGATTTCTGACAATTGTGGTGGTGAAGGAGGGTGTTGGACACGTACACAGCGATAGCATGCTGGCTGAAATGGCCTAAAAGTGTGATAGTGGTGCGTATGTAAGAAATTACATTTTACTGTATATCTTTTGTGGGTGGTTAATGCATTTGGACTAACGTGGGTCAGTTCTGGGACACACAGACTTGCATGCCTGAAATTTACAGTGATGCAAATTTTAAACAGTTTGGGAAAGTTCCACTTAAAGCCACATCTTTTTTAATCGTTACGTTTTTAGCATAGGGAGGACAGAAAAGTTTCTAGCCCGAGGGTTTGTTCTAAAGAGGTATTCTGGAGATAGTGGATTTTCCTACTAGATAAAATCATAGTAGGTTATTGTTCAGTCACTTCTGTCTGATCTCCCTCTGTGAGTTCTTCTGTAGGGTCTCTGATACCAGCAGCCGTTGTATGTTACAATGAACAGAGTTTGACAGTGGAGGGTAAGGAGGGAGTTGTTGTATGGCATTGTATTCCTGGTCACTGTTACTAAAGATGGATTTATTCCCTCCAAAATCCAAAAGAAGGCTGTTCTCTTCCTATCAGATATTGTCTGTTTTCCTCAGTTGTCACTTTAGCATGGATTATACTGCTTTTTCTTTGTGCATTCTTAATGTTTGCTTTCTTTTTTCTGTACAAAGCAGATATTCTGGGAAAGCTAAGAAACCACTTGGATGATGGGTTTGCTTTCTTTAATAGCATTTCACTTGAGTTTTGGGTTCATTTGAGCTGTTTGTGGTGGTAGAGTTCACTGATGGTCGAAGCTTAAACTCAGAGTTTGAGCAGCTTCCATTTGCGTTGCTTGATGATTTTTCATTTGGCTTTTGTGGATTGACTGCTTTGTAAACTCAGTTTAAAATACAAATGGGAAGATTTAATAAGCTGTGCAGATGAGAAGAAAGAAGGTATTTATTCCATCGCTTACATTGATGCTTCCTAAATGCAACAGGTTGTCTATTCAAAACTAATACTACTACTTGCTTTTGGTAAGCTGTTGTGCAGGGCTCTAATTGCCTGTCTCTATGATCACCAGTGATTAGTGGAAAGTAGTGACTTCAGCATTATAGGAGGTTGGAAACCTGTTACACAAAACTGTTGGAAACCTGTTACATGAAATTTTATGCCAAACATTTTTATTAGCCATCTGATAAATAGATATATGCAGAAAAATGTAACATTCTCTGCAGAGTCAACTCATTTCCCATCATAGAACTGACCCCCCAGCATTATGGGTTGGCTGACATGTTCTTAGCAGTTGCTATTAATGTAGTAGCACAGCTGTGAATTTCTTTGCAAGAAAGTTGAAATCGGAGTTGTTTAACTTTAGAATCAAGCAGATTAATTTTGAAACCCTCTTTTAATACCACATTTGGTTTTTTGTTTTTCTTTGTGCAAATTCAGCGTAACAACAAATTAGCATCAACACTAAGGAACATTTAAAAACATTTATTCCAGTTAAAATCCATTCTGAATTCATGAGGAGCAGAACATACTGTGAGCCTGCCTGTTGTATGAGAATAGTCTCCGTGCTACTCGGCACAGCAGTTAGGTGTATGCGTGTTAGTCATACAAGTACACAGAAATCCAGCGAGACTTCCCGGTTGAAAAACAGCATGAGAAAAACATAGTACAAATACCAGAAAGCATTCGGTCTCTGTTTACAGTGGTTAGCAGATAAATCTGATGCCTGAATTTAATAAAAATTTCATTCAGCTCAAATAAGCCGGAGATGGATGTCGTTACGAGATTTACATACCATTAGCTCACATTAACCGATGAGCAGCCGAGCTGTGTGGTACGGGGCTGGTTGGATACGAGATCTGTGATGCCAGGACGCTGCCGTTAAAGGAGGTCTGCCGACTGCATGCTTGTTTCCTCTGCCTCTGTAATTACTTGATAAAATGAAGTGCATCGCTGTGAACAATAGATCCTTTGGAACAATCCAGGCTGGTCAGCAGTCTGAATCCGCATTTTAAAGCCATCATAATTGCCTCAAACTTAAGAGTTTCCAGGGTGCAGACGAAGGTGTTGTCCTCCTTCAGCACAAGTCGCGTACCGTTTTCAGACTTTATGAAGTATTTGAATTGAATTATATTCGAAGAGACTGAAAACTCCTCTGGAAATCCATCCAGCCTGCTTTTAGACACCAGTACGATTCGGGATTTTATTTTTGCTATGAAATCAGGAGCATTACAAAAGATCCGGAGCCCCTGCGAGCGGTCGTGGCTGTCAGTTATTTCCAGGAAAGTGGTCTCTCGAGATGCGAGCTGCTCCTTCTCCCACCTCGATTTCACTGCATCCGATAAGACCTTCAGCTGAAAGAAATCTGCTTCGTGTGCCAGAAGTTGATTTTCTCGAAACCCTTCCGGTAGAAGAAGTTCTCCATTTCGTAGGAAGTTCAGAATGTGTCTGAACAGGAGTCCATCTCTGTCTATGAAGTAATGTCCATCTGCATCAAACGGGCACATTATTTTTCCGTTGATGATACCTTCGAGGAAAGAATCTGGGTACTTGGTTAGTGTTTGTTTTTGTGTGATGTACAGATAGCCACCAACATTCAGAGTAATCAGAGACGTTTTATAGTCCTTGTCTTGCTCAGAGCCCTCGAAGTTGCTGTGGTTTTCTTCAGATTCCTTTGCTCTCCTGTTTGATTTTCTCTCCATTATCGAAGCAGGCACAGCGATCTTGCTTTGTTCTTGTCAGCTTGGAAAGAGAAATTTTTATTTAAGAGCACCTTTCTTCAGCTCAGGCACGATGTTGGAATGGAAATGCTGCTAGCATTGCTCGGGCTGTCAGCTGGGTTTTGCAGTAGGTGGCGTATCAGCTGTGTATGCAGGGAGATGGCAGGAATATGACTGTAGAGGGAATTTGCATTTAACTGTGTGAGGGAAGGAGGGGATAAAAACCACTTCTCTTTCTGTCCTTACACCTAGGAAGTTTACAGAGTTTTGAGAGTTCCGCACAGAAATGAGTAATGCTCTTCTAAAGGGCACCTTGTTTTTAATGCTTTGCAATGTGTTTGTAGTATCAGCTGGCCAAATTGTGTGTAATGCTTCTGGAGTTAAACACTCCTCTTCATTTACGGTGCAAGGATCTCAGTTTGTATGGAGCTTTTTTTCACATTTTCCTTGTATTAGGTACTGATCTGTGGTACCTGCTCGTACAGCAGGGCAGCACAGAAAGTGAAGGCATCCCTAGTGGTACATAGAGAGGTATCAGTTATGGTTATTCCTCACGTATAAGATGTGTGTGTGGCACTGAGATGATTTTGTACTGTTACTTTGGAAGTGCTGCTGAAGACTTGTCGGTCTGGTGAGTTTTTGTGATGAAAGCTTCCATTTTCAGCTGATGGAAGCATTCCGCACCAATACAAGCACTGCAGCAGCCTAATGAGGTTTGGCTTTATCTGTGCCGTAGATAAAAACTGTTTTGGAAAGGAGAGCGGTTTGCTGTTCACATGCATGGTGTGTAAGTCACTGAGTGGCATAATTCCTTCTTTTTCAATAGCAACAACTGCTGGCCTGTGGAACAAAGGGTTAGTGTGCTCACAGACAGCATGCTGAACATCACCTAACATTACAGCTTAGCAACACTTGTGTATGGGGGGAGCAGCGGCAGCAGCAGCAGCAGCAGAGCGTGCTACAATCAAATGGCTGTCTTCTCTCTGTGAAGCTTCACTGAGGTTGGCTTTCGGGCTCCTTTTAGGAAAGGTTTCCCCTTTAAGCAGGGAGAGGAAGGCTCCTCACACATCTGTGTGTACATTTCCTGGGGCTGTGAGGAACCAGTGGGTGGCAGGCACTGCGTGCATCCAGGGCAGTGAGCAGTGAGCAGTGTGAGCAGTGAGCACTATGTTGGGCTGGCCGGGGGGAGCAGAGCCCATCTTTGTCCAGCTGAGTTTTTCACTTCTACAGGTGAATGCCTCCTGCTTGGGCCCAATAAACAACAGAAAGTCAGATGATCCTTTTGTGAATTTTTCTGTTCTGTTTCTAAAGATATTACTCATACTGTTCTCACTGTCTCTAAGGCTGTTTATTGATACTGTGGAATCATCACTATAATATTTTATTAATTGGCAATTAAACCTAGTAGAAATAAATGCACTTTTAAAATTCAGCCTTGCCAGGGTATCCCTACCACTGATACTCTATTTTTTTCTGCTGCCGCGTGTGGTTTATTAAACAGATATTATTCATTAGATTTTTTTTTATCAGGAATTAGTCATGGTTTTAATGTTAACTCTTTGAGACCACTGAAGTGTTTAGCATTGTTCAGTCAGAGATTTCAACCACTTTCTGATCTTTAAACATTTAAACTTCTTTTTCCCAAATCAACTCCATTCACAATTATTGAGTGAATAATCAAGAAAATGAAAGGCTGGAACAGTTTGAATTTTATTTATTTATTTATTTTTTTTGTCATTGCAAGAGACTTCTGTTCAAATTTATTATCCAGTGATGGAAAAGTCAGCTAATGTGCTTATGTCATATATAATTTAGTGTTAAATATAGTGTTAGTGGTTCCTAGGAGAATGGTTTCTGCAGTGCTTTTGTCTTGCATGGTGTTGTTGAAACACTTTGAAGCTGAACAAGTAATGTCCTGGCAGAATTAAGCAGGGATTTCCAAGAAGCTGAGGTTTGTAAAGGATAGGAGAGCTGAACTCTCTACATTTTAAGAGGCAGCAGTTACAGAACAGTATCTGGGCTCTTTTGATTTTCCACATTTGTAATCTTCTGAATATTTTGATACTTAGAGTTGAAATTTTCCACTTCCATGAACAAGTACATATTCTTTGAAAGATCACACTAAATCATTCTAGTGGTTCATATGATAAAATATTCAAAATCTATTTGATATGGCAAATAGACTGTGAAGATCATGAATATATGCATTTAAACCTTTGAGGCTTGAAACATTTAGAGTCGATGTAAAATTTTACTCGTGACAGACCCATGCAGCTTTACTTCACTGCAGCTGACAGTTGTCTGTAATACAGAATTTGAGGCTGGCACATCTTTGTGACAACTTTCCACTTCCTGTGATCTACTGTAAGATGTCTGTTCCAAAGAGCCCTCATTCTTTGCATACACTCGATGATGCATGCACTATTGCAGTGCCTGTAGGTTTAGTGAAGTAGAAGATATTTCAGTGGCTTCACGTAGCTTAGTGTACGCCAGAAGAACTGGATTCCCTTTTCCCTTCCTCTAGAAAATTGCCCTGAGGTCCCTTTTGGCAAAGGTAGGCAACTTGCATGCAAATCTAGAGACTTCACCTAGTTTTCTGCTCTCAGAGTCTGTGTGATGTACTGGGAGTGGAGGGAACTGCGCTCAGTCCTGTCTCAGTCCTTTCTGCTTCCCACTGGGACTGAACAACTTAGTGCTGAATGCTATCCCATGCCACAGGTGGACTGCCTCTGTTTGTGCGCTGCACAACTGAATTGTGCTTGCTGATGTTGGTAGCTAGAAGTCCTGAAGTAACCATCGCTTTCCAGGCTGCTAGTGTGTCACTTGGTCGCTGGAACTGACCACCTGGGTGGCACTGTCACCCTACAACTATCCAGTTTCTTCTCAGACACTGTCCTAGAGATGGTAAAAATGCAGTTCTGGAATCTGTCAGCTACAAGGGAAGCAGAGCTGAGGATAATGGAACTAGGGAGCTATCCCTCATTCTGACTGATGTGCTTCTTTGTGGAAAAAAAACCTTCCTCTTCTTCAGCCTCCATCTTTTTTCTGATTGCTGATCAGGAAGCAGCACCTGGTGGAGCTTGAGCATGCCTCAGAGCTGAGGATCTGGTCCTGGAGCACATCACTGGAAAACCAGTGCTTTACCAAGGCTTCATCTTACACATCTGAACAGCATCAGCTTGACTGAGATTCTGTTATCAGTGAAACTGTCTTGGATTACAGAAAGCAGCTAATTTTATTTCAGTACAGAATGATAACAGGGGAAATCTACAGCTAAAAGAGGTGGAGAATTTTTGAAACATGTTAGGAAGCCACACTAATAAAATCTGTTTGGGTTACTGAGGAAATGCATTAGGCATTTAATGTTGTAACACAGAAAGCTGGCCAGGTTGTTGGGACAATTAAACCATTCAGTAGTTACTGTCTCACAGTAATAGTAGCATAGCCACTCTCATCCCAATAAATATTTGCAAGATGTTGATTAATGGCTACTGAAGACAAGCTCTGCACACTAATTAAAAGTGAAGAACTTCAAATAAGAAAGTCTGAACATTCAAGAGTTTTGTCCATGAAATTTTACCAATACTTACTGTTGATATTTTTCATTAACTTTTGAGCACTGCAAGACTGAAGAAGCAAATGTTATGCCAGCATTCAAAAGGTAAATTGTATGACCCAAACAAAATTGACTGTATGAAAAATAATAAACATCTGACTTGGAAATCAATCAGTTCAAAATTAAGGGAGAAAGATATGGTGCTCATCTATGTGAGTGTAGGCAAAATAGACTGGCCAAATATTTTTTCCTGTTTTTGGTTGTAATTTGTTCAGCAAAAGAGATGATGCTTTTTTCTTTTCACCTCTAAGTAGATACTGCTTGTCAAAATGCAAAAATTATATAGATTATAAAACTATATAAAATACAAAAATTGTCTGCCAGGTTTCAAGCTGGTAAATATTAAGCAGAGGCTTATCACCTATACATTAATGTGATTTGGTTCTTGGTTCTCGAGCAGTGATCAAGGAGATAGTTACTGCTGAAGTCTGGAGATGATACAGACTGAAAGTGTAGTAGACAAGGAGACACATTTGGAGAAGAGGAGGCTCAGGGGAGACCTTATGGCTCTCTATAACTAGCTGAAGGGAGGTTGCAGTGAGCTGGGGGTCAGCCTCTTCTCTCATGTAACTGGTGATAGGACTAGAGGGAATGGCTTCAAGCTGTGCCAGGGGAGATTTAGGCTGGACGTTAGGAAATACTACTTCTGTGAAAGAGTGGTCAGGCACTGGAATGGACTGCCCAGGGAGATGATGGAGTCACCGACCCTGGAGGTGTTCAAGGAACATTTGGATGTTGTGTTGAGGGACATGGCTTAGTGAGAACTGTTGGTGATGGGTGGATGGTTGGACTGGATGATCTTGTGGATCTTTTCCAACCTTGTTGTTTCTGTGATTCTGTAATTTCTGACAGATAATCATTTGGGTACTTGGCTAAGACAATATTTTAATATGGCTAAATATAAAGTTTATATGCTTAGGAATCATAGAATCATTAAGGTTGGAAAATACCTCTAAGAGCATATAGTCCAACTGTCAACCCATCACCACCATGCCCTAAATCCATGTCTCTTAAGTGCCACATCTACGTGCTTCTTTGCATCCTGTTCTAGTGTCTTACACCCTTTCTGAAAAGAAATACAGTGTAGTCAGGGCATGTCCATGTGTTTGTGGAAGGAGAAGGACTGTGGTATTGTCCTGTGTGTACTGAATGCATCATGAACAACTGAAGTGAGGTCATCACTGTGGGCAGTGTGCAGCAAGCTCTGGTTCCTGCCCCGTGTATCATCAAGGAAGAGATATGAGTGAGCTCAACTTCCTCAGACCAGTTAAGAAACTGAAAAATAAGCCTACTAGAAGATTTTAGAAAACATGGCCTGTTAAGCTTAATGGAGGTGGAAAATACGTAAGTGCCTGGGTGGGCAGGAAATTTTTATATGCAGCTCTTCAACTTAGCAGTCACTGGTCTGACAAGGTCTAGGTGCTGGAACTTAGAGCTAGGTGCAGTGCAGTCAGACTAGGAAATGAACACATTAAAATCTCTGGGCCAGCCTGTTTTTCTCTGTGGCTCCTTGTCTCCTTATCTCTCTCAAAAAAAAAATCTATCAAAACATCTTCTGCACAGTTCCAGTAAATTTCCCCAGTGCCTGTTTACTAAGACTGCCTTAAGCATTTTAACTACGTTTTGATGGTGATCATCAGCAGAATTTGAAGCTGGAACCAACATCTCCCTGTCATTTCTTTGAAGGAGTCAGCAGCTGAAATTTCTTTATGGGCTGGCATAGGGATGCACAGGTAGAGGCGTGAGTGCATCTGGTGGCTGATGCTGCATATAAGGATCATGTAGAGCAGCCTATCTGGTGCTGTGCTGACCCTGTTTGTGGTCACTGATGGTGTCAGACACCTGGGGAGACATCTTTTTTCCCATCTAATCACTGGTCTTAGCTGATCTTCCAGGTACTGGCTCATTCGTGTTGTACTGGCTGGTTTATTTTAAGTAGGTTTTTTTTAATAGGGAATTTCTGCTTTCATGCCTTATTCCTCCTTTGGGTTCTAGGTTGATGTGACTGTACTATGGAAGTGTAAAGGGAGACATGACACTTTGGATGTCTGTTCATTGCAGCTCTGGCCCTGCAACAGGTGAGAAGAGATTCAGGTTTCTGAAGATAGCAAGCATCGTTCAGAGATTTAAGTCTAATTAGGCTGTGAAGAGAGTAAGAACTGTTTCCCTGCTGCATTCTTGCATTTGGAAGTTTGCACGCATCTCTGCAGATTTATTCTGATGGCCTCTGCATGACTTAAAATCCCAGGAGAGTCCAGGGAAAATGGAACATGAACCACAGCTTTGGGTAGCGAATGGGATTTGACACCAGGCTAGGTTAGCTGTAAGGTCTTCTCAGACACTGCTGTCAGCCTGGTACTGGGAATCCAACACTTGGGATCATCAAAAACCAAGTCCAGGTCACTGGTAATTAAAAGGGGATATTGTTGAAGAATTATATCAAGAGATACTACTAAGGATGGTCATGCTTAACTGGTAGGTTCCAGCAACCTTCTTTATTTCCTAACTAGTTGGTATGGGGAACTTTTCAAATTCACTGATACTGATTCTTAAAACAGAAGATCAGTTTCAAAATTCAGTAAGGGTTTTGTGCAGAGATCGATAGTGTCAGTGTTCAGACAGCTGGGCTGGGTGGTTCAGATGAGTAACCTTGTGCCATACAAACTAATGGAAAAATAGTCATGGAGTTCAATGGGCAGAAGTGAACAGAAATGTGATGGCTACTAGCAAATGTGGCTTTATGGAAAGGTTTTCTAGTCAAACAAACCTAACTTGTTATTTGGGGGACTGCAAATATGCTTGATGTGTTTGCAGCCTGCTTAATATCTCATATTGCACATAACTTAGAATCTTGTGGCATTCTGATTTTTGTCTAAAAAAATAAATCAGCAAGCATGAAATAAGATTAAAAGCTAGCTGACAGTTATCAGAAAGTAATTATCAGTAAGAAGTCACTTGGGCTGTAGTTTGAAGGGCTTTCTCCAGGATTAGCAAGAGAGACAGCAGCAAGTAAGAATCACTGCTTATGTGATGTGTCATGATTGACACCAGTGCTGGTCAGGCAGTGAATAACTGTGACAGGACTGTCGTAGCATGACCTGGATCACTTAATTCACAGAATCTTTTTAAAGAAAATGCATTTTAACCAAGACAGAAGCAATTACATGTATATATTCCCTAAGAACGGGGGATGCAGAGTAGAGAGATAAAACGTGAGGCGTCGGAAGACTCAGAATAGATGCAGTGGTGCTATAATAAGCAATCAACTCCATCAAGCCCCTGAACAATCGATCTTGGGGGGAACCACCAACACAGAGCAGTTCACTGAATCCTAAAAGAAATGAGGCCGATTGTCTTCTGAAAGTCTCCCTCTGTGTGTTGAATTCAGAGTTTGCAGAATAACCTTGAGAGGGCTAACATCAGGCAAGATGAATTTCAAGCTCATCTCCTGTAGCTGTTATTTTATTCCCTTAAATGGTTTTGGTAAGACTGGTACAGAAGTATTTCATCTCTTTTCTGGGCTCTGTGTTGTCGAACTATCATTGAAAGGTTGAGTTAGTGCAGGTAAGAGCCACACAACTTTATTGAGGTGTGTTTTTTATTAAAGTGCCTTACGGTGAGATAATGCATGAACTTTAGCTAGCTTCATTTATTGAAAAGATGATTGAGAAGTGACTTGATTGCTGTGTAAAAGTGCTTTCACAGAGAGAAAATACCAGGTACTCAAAGGCTCTTTATCATAATATAGAAAGACGTAATGAGAACCAAGTGCCAGAAGCTGGAGACAAATTCATATTGGAAATTAAGCACCAATATTAGTAGCACTTTAGTCACACACAGGTTGTTAGATTCTGCACAGAAGAAAGAGGATAACATTTAATTGTATGCTCAGGCAGTCAGGCAAATTGGCCAAGTGTTTTCTTTTCATCAAAACCTTACGGATCTGTAAAAAGGGAAATGTTTTCATAAAAATGATGCTTTATTTTCATAGAATCATAGAATGGCCTGGGTTGGAAAGGACCACAGTGATCATCTCATTTCAACCCCCTGCTATGTGCAGGGTCACCAACCACCAGACCAGGCTGCCCAGAGCCACATCCAGCCTGGCCTTGAATGCCTCCAGGGATGGGGCATCCACAACCTCCTTGGGCAACCTGTTCCAGTGTGTATGAAAAACTTCCTCCTAATATCTAACCTAAACCTCCCCTGTCTCAGTTTAAAACCATTCCCCGTTGTCCTATCACTGTCCACCCTCATAAACAGCCATTCCCCTCCTGTTTATATGCTCCCTTCAAGTACTGGAAGGCCACAATGAGGTCTCCCCAGAGCCTTCTCTTCTCCAAGCTAAACAAGCCCAGTTCCCTCAGCCTTTCCTCACAGGAGATGTACTCCAGCCCTCTGATCATCTCAGTGCCCTCCTCTGGACCCGCTCCAAGAGCTCCATGTCCTTCCTGTACTGGGGGCCCCAGGCCTGGATGCAGTGCTGCAGATGGGGCCTCACAAGAGCCGAGTAGAGGGGGACAAGCACCTCCCTCTCCCTGCTGGCCACCCCTTCGTTAATGCAGCCCAGGATTGGCTGCAGGCGCACACTGCTGGCTCATGTCCAGCTTCTCGTTCACCAAATTTTGTTCCTAAGTACTTGCAAAAGTAGTGTATTCTTCTCCTTTTACATGATTTAATGAATTTTTGAATCAAAACAGGAGTTTTAAAATTAAATTATTTTCTAGATATGTGTTGTTGAAGCAATTGCTGTCTGCATTATTTAGGGATTTCCATGTGTAATAGTTTTTAAGTTGATAAGGCATTGGTAAAAATCTCAGGCATCTCATAAATTGCCTTGTGTTACTAGATGTTGGTTTTCTGAGTGTTTCTGTTCTCATCAGTGGTATTGTCAGCTGGAACTGGCAGTGACAGTGTAGCACCCTGCGCCAACAGCAAGACAAGACTTCCAGAAGGAATTTTTAAATAGAGTTAATGAAGGCGTTGAAGTTAAGAAACTCATCCTTTCTTTTAAGCAAGGCTGTTGCAGAGAGGTGTAGGTTTTATACATATTGCATTGGCTATGCCCAAAAGAAATTGTTAAGTTGGCACCGCCACCCTCCGTGCAGTAGGACACAGTAGTGCAAAATTAAGTGCTTGGCAAAAGTGTTACGTCTCCCTTCCTTTCTGCTTATGGTTGCTTTTAGTTTTCAGGCTTTTACTTCTTTGTAGGCTGGTACTATCGCATTGCTGTCTAAGTACTGTTGCTCTAAGCTAAATGGTGTTCTCATCAGACTACAAAGCAACTGCTACCCAGGTGAATGGGGAGAGAACATTATTAAATGTAATGTGGTAGGTGGTTTTCTAGGTAATTCATTTCCTTTTTCCCCAAGCATTAGCACATACATAATGCAATAAAATAACATTCCATTGATGAGCAATGTTTTATTGTAATAAGATGGAAATTAATTACTTCTTTTTTCTGAAGGTGAAAACAAAATTAAATCTCATTTTGTCTTTCACTGATTTTGGATATTTTGGTAGGTAAGTTTTCTTTGTAGATAGGCTTTTGGTTTTTTTATGCTGACTGTATTCAGTGAGAATTTCTAGAAAACCATTCCTAGGTAAGTTGAGTGCAACTGTCTGAAGAAAGTAGGCCCACACTTTTATTAAAAATCTCACCTTTGTGATTCATTCTTAATACGTAAAGCATCTGATTGCAAAATGAAGATGTGCTGGGAATACCACCTGTACAAGAATGATTCTCCTTCGTTTTCCTCAGTGTCAAAATAGCAGAGACTTTGAACTTAATTTGACATTTGAGAACTTATTATTGCATTGTATTTATTAAATCTGAATTAAACAGAAATGCAAGCTTTGACTGTGTTTGTGTTGGTTTTTTTTTTAATGTCCAGTTTTGCTTTGTTGTCTTGTACCAGATAAACTTTCCCTGGAAGGAATAGTGGTGCAACGTGCTGAATGCAGACCTGCAGCTAGTGAAAATTACATGAAACTAAAAAGGTAGGACAGCTCTACTACAAATGGATATGTGATAGCTCACTTTGATGCTTTTGTTTTCCGAGAGATGAACAACGTCACTATTTTCATGCTCTGATATAAGATTTATACAGGATTGGAATAGATCTTTCTATGGGAGTGGATTTTACCAGAAGGGACGAATGGAGGCTGTCGTGATACTTATGCCTCCCTCTTATATTACCTGTTGGGGTGATATTGGCTTGTGCATTTCATCACGTGCAAAACTCTTACTAGAGCACACATTGTGCCTGTTCACATCTAAACATATGAATATGTGCTTGTATTTGGATGTTCTTGATGCAACATTTCCTGAAGGCTTAAAGGTTTACCTATGTTTGGTCAGTTGGTATGTTGTGTGTATATACAGCTGTGTGGATTGTCCAGCCTGAATTCCACTGAACAGTTAGTACTGTGCTATGGTGGGCAAGGAGCACCAGTGACATTAAAATGCCCTAAACAGGGAGACCTAAGCCAGGATACTTTCTAGAAAAGATAGTAGAAGTGACATGAAGATCACTAAATGGTCTCTCTCCTTTACGGTCTCACTTAGTGACCACAAAATTGCATTCAATACATCTCAGAGTTGCCATGTGGTTCATATATGATTTGCATAATTAACTTGATGATGCTCTCTGTTAATAAATCCAATTTGGAATTCAGTTGTGCTTTATATTAAATACATATTTGCATGTTTTAAGCATGTGGGTTTTAATAAAATCACTCTTAATATTTTGAGTTTGTTGTTTAGAGAGAAGTGCAAAGCAGGAAATTTCAGGAAGAGAATTAACAATGCAGACTTAGTTTCAGAATGTTCAAAATCAAAAAAGCAAAGTGGTATTTTGATGTTTTCCCACAATTCCTGATCTGTTTTATGTGCATCACACACCACACTTCCAGTATCTTGTTTTATTAACCTCCTCTTAGATCTAAATTGCTCCAGTATTTCCTTATTGTTTTTATTCAATTCTGAGACTTCATGTTTTAGCTGCTGGCAAATCAGTGCCATAACTTTGCTCGTGTACAGTGAACTACTTCATTTCAGACTGTGTTCTGTGATTGCTATCGTGATTCCTATCATCAGTGTGAAATGGAGTATGAAGCAAATGTGATATTACTAGAAAAGGACTCGTTCCATTCTGGCAAATTTAAATATATATGAATATCGTCTGTGGAATATATTTGCTCCGTAATTGTTTTAATTGCAGGTTGCCTGATCCAAGTGCTTTTTAGCGTTTTCTACAGTCTCCTATTAGCTGATCAGATAAGGCCACAGCAGGAGGTCAAAACAGAACTGATAGCTTTAATGACACGCTGCCTGAACTTTCAGTTTTTCAGCGTTCTGTACTCTGTCGTGTGCACATGCATGCAGCCCCTCCTGATCTTTCATGTTGAACTCCTGCAGGAGCAACAAAGATAGAAAAAGGAAAGCAGGTTTTGTCTTTGGAGGCACTGAGAAACTGAAAACTGACTGTATTGCGTGGTTTATTTTTTTCCCTATCCTGTAGGGAAATTGGCAGGCTGTGCATGCCTACTTTCTAACTTTCCATGTTGTTGGGGAAAAAAAAATAAATTAAAATCTCATCTGGTGGAAATCAGCATGAGATTTAGCAGATCTAGCAGTCACAGCCTCAGAAGAAATTGGTTTATGTCCAAACAGAATTTCTGGCATTTCAGTTGTAGAATCTAACTTTTCACTCCCGTTTTATTCTCTCCCACCCTCAGCGTGCTACAGTTTGTATTGGTGCCTAAAAGACAAGTGAGAACATTGAAGATAAACCACATAAATTATAGAATTGTGTTATATTAAACTATTTTTATTTGCTTTTTTATTTACTATTATGCTTTACATGAGAGAGACTCTCCAAAGATGGGATTGATAATACTGAGAAAACAGCAAATCTGTTGTGTAGGCTTAAGTGCTACAACAATAAATTGACTTTGGGAAGGAAATAAAATTAAATGATAAGTGCAGTTGCTTCAGACTTTGAAGATCTAGAAAATGAAGTTAAGCTGCACACTCCTATAACTCCAATCATTTGTTTTCTACGAGCTGGCAGTGACCTAAAGGAGTTACATGCCTCCCTGGTATCAAATGCAGATACGGATCTCTTCTGTTAGACCCTCTTTATCTGGCTGAAGGTTGTAGGCTACTGGGTATGGTGTGCAGCATCGTGCTTGGTTTCTATCCTGATTCTCAAAGAGAGGGCAGAGCAACCGCCTTGCGATGGGACTACCAGCAGTTAGGTGGGAGATGAGTGAGATATGTGGGTTTAAGGGTGGGTAATGAGCACAGAATTAGATGACACGTACATATGGGTGCAAGTGTTGGCAAAGCTGGCAGATTTCAGGGCTTCTTCCTGGGAAAGAGCCTTCGATTTGATGATGGGAAGAGTGTAGACAGCTGATGTTCGGAACAATTTAAATGCAAGGTACAAACATGTGTCCAGTCAGAAAAGTAATGCAGAAGTTGTGTGACCTTCAAATCAGTATTTTCTGTTTTGGAAGTTATGTTTATCTATTTGTTCTGTTTTCCTGAACTTCAAGCTCTAGAAGGGGAATAAATTCCATGAAACACTTGCTGTACTGCCTAGTACAGCTCCAGGCTGATCAATTTCATAGGTGATTATTAATTTTTTTTAATTAACTGTGCATTTGTTCTTTGTAACACTGTAATGATTAGTTCCCTAGGATTGGTCAAGTTGTGTGCAACATGGTAGCTGGGTACCAGTCTGACAGTTCTAAGGAGAGGTTTTGAAGAGAAATGCAAATACAGTGCAAGTGTTTGATGAACCTGGTTTGATAGCACTTCCCCAAAAGTAATGAATGGACAGCAAAAACTGGAAGGAAATCAGAGTACGTATTTCATTCTCAAATGTGCTTCTCAAATGCTTGTTGCCTTTCAGAAGGTGTTTTTTGGGGGCAGACTCCGGATCGGTTATACTTAACCTAAATTACTGAACTCTCCTAAACTGTGTTCCAGGTTTAAAAACATGTATTTGCAGTGCCTATAAGAGCTGACGTTTAAGGCTTCACTGAGACCAATAATATCTAGAATTCTCTCAAGTAACTTAAAGATGCAACCTGAAGTGTTGTTAATGAAAATGGTATTTGCCAACATGGCATCTCATAACAGGGTGACATGAATTCTGTATGTCTTCTTGCTTTTTCTGTTTAAAGGTTTCAGTGGAGAATGTGATGAATGTCCTTAGAGAAAACTGCTGGAATAAACATGTGTTGTGTGCTTTTTGGAAAAATGGGTTGTAAGCTCAGGAGTTAATGATCTTTTACCTTTGAAAAGTCACATTTCCTTCCTACTTTGTTACGTAGGCTGCTGTAAGTCCTGACATTTGCTAGTCCAGGCCAAGAAAGTGAAATTTAATTAGTGTGGATGTTTATTAGTTCTCATCTCAAAAATAGTGCTAAGAGTATTGACTGGCTGACAGTTCAGAATACTGCTGAAAATGAACATTATGCCAGGATTTTCTTGATTATTTTTTTTTTTTTCCAAATACCCCCTACTGGGAAAAGAAAATGAAGAATTTGACCAGCATGCCACCTCACGTATATTTTTGTAGATATTCTCAGTTGGCTACGAATTTCCTTTTGAAGAAAATACGTATGAATAAATTCATGCATTTTCCACAAAAGCTGACATGCTGCACGAATGCTGTTCAGTTTGTTTCAAGTGGGAGGCTGTTTCTGTGCACAGCTGAGATTGCATCTGCCTGTCAGTCAGTGCAACCGTGGTTTTCAAGTATTGAAGATCAATTTCTTTGTCTTGAAATAAAATTCACTGTAGTTCAAAAAGATGTTCCCTAAGTACACCATTAAGTAGAAAAAACAAGTGTTTTTTTCCCACATGGGAAAACATTTCCAGTCCTAGCACTGTTCTAGAGAATAACGTGCATGCTCATACGGGTTAAGGCATACTGTCTAGAGAGGTGCTGTATATTTCCCTAAACTTCCTTGACATCCATCATTTTTTTACAAGCAAGCAAGTGCCATTCTACTTGTAAGCCAGTAGAACTTGGACTGCAAAGTAGCAGGCACACAGGTACTTCAGTTTATTCATCCATTTTATCAATATGGTGGCCTTCTGTGATGGTTTAACAATGTCAAGTGTAGAGTCCTACACCTGGGAAGGAATAATGACATACATCAATAAGAGTTAGAGGCTGACCTGCTGGAAATGAGCTCTGCAGAGAAGGACGTGGGTGTTCTGTAGGACAACAGGTTGGCCGTGAGCCAGCAGTGTGTCCCTGTGGACAGGGAGGCAAGTGGTATCCTGGGGTGTATTAAATTAACATGGCCAGCAGGTCGAGGAAAGTGATCATCCCCCTCTACTCTTCCCTGATGAGGCCACATCTGTAATGCTGTGTCCAGTTCTGGGTTCCTCCGTTCAAGAAAGAGAACTTGTAGAGAGAGTTCAGCAGAGGGCTACAAATACAATGCAGGGCCTGTTGCATCTCCTGTGTAAGGAATGACTGAGTAACTTGGAGAAGACGGACAGGGAATCATCACTGAAGGGCACTATAAGGTCTCCTCGAAGCCTTCTCTTCTCCAGGCTGAAGAATCCCAGCTCTCTCATTCTGTCCTCATAGTGGAGGTGCTCCAGCCCTCTGGTCATCTTCCTGACCCTCCTCTGGCCCTGCTCCAACAGCTCCATGTCCTTCTTGTGTTGAGGGCCCCAGAACTGGATGCAGTACTCCAGGGGGGGTCTCACAAGAAGCAAAGGGAATCTTATCATCGCTTCTAAATATCTCAGGGGAGGTGGGAGTCAAGTGGGCTCTTTTCAGCGGTGCCCAGTGCCCAGTTAAAGGACAATGGGCACAAACTGGAACATGGGGAGTTCCATATGAACTTGAGAAAATACTTCTTTGAGAGTGATGAAGCACTGAAACAGGCTGCCCAGAGAAGTTATGGAGTCTTCTCCTCTGGAGATATTCAGAATCTGCCTGAACACTTTTATGTGTAACATGCTG